CCCTGCTCCCTCCCTCCCCTCCCATTCCCCTCCTTGTCGAATCGACACCCCTAGGAACGGTGAGCGGGGAGGGGGGATGGGGAGAGAGGAGGTGGCGGAACGACCAAAGAGGAGGGAAAAGAAAAATCGGCCAAGTTGCCCTCCCCCCACTTCCTCTTCCCCTCCTCTCCTTCCCTACCTCAGGAAACTGCTCTAGATCTGCCCATTATTGCCTCGTGCTAACGGGAGAGGGGAATTTTAACTTTTTTCTGATTTTGCATGTAATTGGCAGTAAAATGCGTGATTTTTGCAGATATGCGTTAGCAATATTTGAAAATCCAAATTTGCGCAATGTCTTCAACTTCAAAAAGCAACCGCTTGCAATTGGTAATGGGACGGTGCTGTTCCATAACAATCGAATGCTCTGCTATGGTCGTATAAAAGCACTCCTCGATCATATGGGCCTAACAGATGTCAAAGATACCGATGTTTCATTTTTTAGCAACGGTGATCGAGCAATATGTAAGTTTTTTTTTCTTTTTTTTTTCAAGAATTGTATGTTATATGTTTTTTTCCGCTTCATGCTTCCTTGTTTTTTTTTTCGATTTTTTGATTTTTTGCTCTTTTTTTGGGAATGAAAAAATTGTAGACTGTGGGAAGTACGGGGGGTTTTTTTCGGCTTTTTTATAGTTATTTGAATATAATGGAAAAATTGTAGCCTGTACAGGTTTCCTGATTTATGTATTTTTTTTTTCGTGTGCGGAATTTGCTGTTTTTTTTGCTGTATATTTGCTGTATATTTTTGCAATCTTCAGATGTTCTAACAGTATTGCAGCGAGTTCGATTATCCAGTTTGAGCTCAAAAAAAAATTTGATTTGAAAAATTTAAAAAAAAAATTTAACAATTTTAATTTTTTTTTAATATTTTTTGGATTTGTTTTGATAGTAATTTTTTTTAATAATTTTAATTTTTTTTATATTTATTGTGATTTAAATATATTTTTTAGGCAATGAAATTACTTTTGATGTGCACACAGACTATGTGCATAGCTATGGTTTCCTGATATCATGGTTAGCTTTCAATACCACTGATATGGATCATCGTAAATTTTTGGGCTATCAGGTATCATTATTCTTCCAAAATCTCACATTTTTTTCCACAACTTTTTTAATTTTTTTCCGAAATTTTTTTTCGAAATTTTTATTTTTTTCAAAATTCCAAAATTTCCTTTTTTTCAAAATTCCGAAATTCAAAATGCCAAATTTCACTATTCATGTTGAATTGATAACAAGATACTTTTTTGTCAAAAATCACTACAATTTTATCACAGGCTCCGGATGCCTAAGGATTTTATGTAATTGGTTTCTGATGTTCTCGAGCACCCTTCCTCCTCCCACTCCTGCCCCGCCCCCTCCTCCTCCGGAAGCTTTCAAGGGGGAGGGGTTTAATGGGACGACCGAGGCGGAGTGGAGAGGGTAGCGGACCGTAGTTTGTAGTGAAGAGCGGGGGGGGGGAGGGAGAAGGATGAATTTAAAAATAATTTTAAAACGGCGCTGAAACGGGGAATTTTGATTTACCGCGTTATTAAATTATTTGTTTTTTAGGTATTTTATAAAAAAGTAAATGGGCCGGATCCGGAAATCAACATTGAGGATGATCGTTCTGCATGCAGCGATTCCTGGCATATGCATTTTGAACCGGAAAAAGGCAACGGAGGCGGCTTGAGTCGGGGTGCAGGCATATTCAACATCGAACCTAATACTTGGTAAATTTTGCATATTTTTTGGGAACCATTTTTACAACCTTTTTCATAACCACAAAATATCTAAATTGGCTGTTTGGCTGTTTTTGGCTGTTTTTGCAGTATTTGGGATATTCTTTTCCTTCTACGAAATCGAGTTTTTCCTTCGAGTTATTTTAACTTCAGTATTTTTTGCTTAAATGCTTGTGAATTTTTGATCATTTTTGAAAATTTTCACCTAAGCTGTTATAAATTTTTTTTTAATTTTTTGAGGCTTTTTTTTTCAGCATGGTTTATGATTCGTTTTTAATTTTTAACG